TACTGGGGTTTGAATTTAGGGCCTCACCATTTAAACCACTCCACAAATCCAACAACAATACAATTATAAATAGGACTTCAATACCCCCATTTTCAACAATGGACACAGATCATCCAGACGGAAAATTAAGAATGAAACATTGGACTTCACCAACATTTTTGACCAAATGGACCTCATAGAAACATGCAGAACGTGCCATCCAACACCAACAGAATATACACTCTTCACAAGAGCACATGGAACATCTCCTAGATGTTCACATTAGGGAACAAAATAAGTCTCAGAAAACTTAAGAAAGAATACTGAAATTAAATCAAGAATCTTCCATGACTATAATGGTATGAGACCAGAAATCAATACATGGGAAGACTATCTAAGAATTTACAAATACATGGACAGTAAACAACATGCTAGTGAACAACCAACAGGACAATAAAATTAAAAGGGAAATTTTTAAAATACCTTGAGACAAGAAAAATGGAACTATAATATACCAAAAGTTACAGAATACTGCAAAAGCAGTTCTAAGAGGAAAGTAATGAGTAAAGAGGTTAACTCAAAAATAAAAAATCCGCCAAAGGAAAGTCCAAGACATGATGGTTTCATTGCCAAATTCTACCAGGCATTTAAAGAAGAATTAATACCAATTCTTCTCAAACTCTTCTAAAAAACTCAAAGAGGAATCACTGGATATCGTGATGCATGTCTGTAATCCCAGCACTCAGCAGTTTGAGGAAAGAGGATCATGAGTTTGAGGCCAGCCTGGGCTATATAACAAGACCCTGCCTCAAAAAAGAAAAAAGAAAAGAATATTTCCATATTCTACAAGGGTAGCATCACCCTCTTACTGAAGCCAGACAAGGAAATGTCCTTGATGAACACCATGCAAAATTCTTCAACTAAGTACTGTGAAATAGAATTCAACCACATGTTTAAAGGATAGTTTATCACAATGAAACAGAATTTATCCTTGGAATGCAAGGATACACAAAAACATACATAAAAAAGATTTATGAAAAGATACATGAAGAAATGCTTACTGTCTCTAATCATCAGGGAGAGGCAAATTAAAACATGAAGACATAAGGTCTCACACTTTCCAGAATGCCTGACATAAAAAACAGAGATAGAAAATGTCATGAGAAAAGAAAAAGGAACCCCTGTACACCTTGAACACCAACTGGTGGGCATTAAATTAGTAGGGTCTAAATGAGCCAGACTCAGAAAGACAAATATCATGTTTTCTCTCACATGCAGAATCTGGGTTTAAAAAAACTCAAAATACAAAAGTAAAAGTTGGACTATTGGGGGGGCACAATTTGAGTGGGGAGAGGAACAAGAGAGGGTAAAGGGACACTGGGGGGATGAATTTGATTAAAGTACCTTGCATAAGTACATACATGTATATGTCATAATGAAACCCATTATTTTGTACACTGAACATAAGCTAAAAGATAAAAAGTGCTCTAGTTTAAAAAAATTAGTACAGATATTATAGAAAATAGTGAAAACAGCCATAGACACAAGTGAGAAAATGTGGTATTTGTCTCTGTCTGGCTCAATTCATTTAGCATAATGTTCTCCAACTCTATTGCAAATGACAAATTTTTTTTCAAATTATCTAAAATGTATTTATCAAACAGGATAGTGAGCTCTGTTCTGTTCTGTTCTGATGAACAAGTGTTCATCATAAATACAGTTTGATGCTTATCTTTCTATAAATTCCTCCTTTCAAGGCTCAGCTTAATATCATTTCCTCTGTGAAGCCTACGTAGAACTTCTGCCTTCACCATAATGTGCACCTATCTCTATAGTGTGTTTACTCCTAGATGGCCTTTGTTTAGAGAGCAATTTCCTTTACCAGACCCCAGAACAGCCAGTGCTAGGGCTTGTTCTTTGGATTCCTAGGACCCAGCACAATCTGAAGGAAAGTAACTACTTAGCAAACTGCAGGGAAGGGGAGGAAGGACATGGCAAGCGTATTTTCAGAGCTGTGTGGCAATGGAGACCTCCTGCAGCCCACCTGTGGGCACCCCCAGGGTTTTCAGAGCTGATGGCCAGGAACCAAGTATTCACTCAGGGATCTTCTTTATACCATCAAGAAACTTTGCCATTCAGGTTCTGATGTTAGGGCCCCTCCCGTAAGACTGAAGATGGCTAATGTGATCCAATGTTCTGTCTTATGAGTTTGAGGCCATATATACATATATGTATCTATGGAAACCTGGAAAAACTGTAGTTTTAAGATGGTCTATGGTCTTCTGATACCTAAACTATCACAAGTGCCCTTAGGGTTAATAGTAGACCTATTGCATGTGGGTGCATGCATATGTAACAGGGTTTGGAGGAAGACAAAATATTGATAAGGATTACTAAACATTCATATATAACTCTAAGTTACCATTTATAAGTTACCCAAGGACTAGCTTAGAGCCCAAAATATCTATTTTTGATGGTAGTACTGGGATTTAAACTCAGAGCCTCATACTTGCTAGGCAGGCACTCTACCTACACTTGAGCCCACCTCTAGCCTTTCATCCTTCAGTTATTTTTGAGATAGGTTCTGGCATTTTTGCCTGGGCCAGACTGGACAGCAATCCTATTTATGCTTCCTACATGGGTGGGATGATAGGTACATGCCACTATGCCTAGCCTTTCCTGTTGAGATGGAGGTCTCACAAACGTTTTGCTGGATGCCTCAAATCACAATATTCCCAGTCTCTTCCTCCTCAGTAACTAGAATTACAGGACTGAGACACTGTGCCCACCCTGGCAAACCTGTCCTTCTGATGAATTAATATGGAATGAGTATTGCTTTTGTGTTTGGTGTATCTTTACCTCTACTCTTATAATTAAACTATTTGGGGGGTGTATTAGTTTGCTTTATGCCACTATAATGAATATCTGAGGAAATTAACTCATAGAAAAGGTTTATCTTGGCTCACATTTCTGGAGGGTCTAGTCTGTAATCAAGTGGCCTCATTTCTTTGGGCATCTGGTGAGGGCGGCACATCGTGGCATGAACGCACTGTGCAGCAAATCACTCACCTCAAGAGCCAGGAATCAGAAAGAGGAAAAGAGGCCAAGGTCCCACATCTTGTTTGGGAGCTATCCCACCAGTGACATAAAGACCTCTGAGGTAGGTCCTCCTCCTAAAGGTTCTCACCCCCACCCTCGCCCCATCCCAATAGCACCAGCAGGGGACCAAACATTTCCCATATGGAGCTTGGGGAGACAGACACTTACCCAAACCACTGCAGGGAGCAGAAAGTCGGAACTGACATTCCCTTCCTCTTGATCCTCCCACAGTATCAGCATTTGGAGAAACAAGTAAAATGGTAAGGGCAGCTCTCTAAACATACACAACACAGACAGCTCTTCACACTCAATACCCGCACCATGACCGTTCCGACACTACTGTGACTACAGTCGGTTGTTTCTTTTGTCCCAAACATATGTCCAGTAAAATTAATTTTTAAAATATTGAAGGAATAACAAGGTATTTTACCTACTTGATTTCTTTTGCTGCTTTTTCTTTAGATTACACAGGAGCTATGTTTAGAGAAAAGGTTTATTTTGGCTTATGGTTCTGGGAGTGCTGGTCCAAAATCCAATGGCTCTGTTGCTTTAGGCCTCTGGAGAATTGACACACCATGTGATCAAAGTAATCTGATTTAGGACTAGGGATATTATCAGTGGTACAACACTTGACAAGCCTATGTAAGGACTTGAGTTCAATCCTCAGCATGGCAAAATATAAACAAATGCATTAATTGCTGCAGTGGTATAACTCAGTAGTACAGCACTTGCCTAGTATAGCCAAGGCCCTTGGTTTTTGATCTCCAGTACCACAAAACATTAATATTCAAGTTGGAAACGGCAGTATGTGCCTGTGCTTCTTGTGAGGCTGAGGCGGGAGAATCAATTGAGCTGGAGAGTTTAAGTCCAGTCTGGACAACACGGTGGCACACTATCTCGAAATAAAATAATGTGATTCTCAAGGATGTGAAGCTAAGCACGATTGTAAGTGGATTTTGTCTTTATTATTTACTTTGGTGGTACTGAACTCAGGGCCTTGTACTCGTCTACCAAGCACTCTACCACTTGAGCCACACCCCAGTTCTGTTTTGACTATTTAAACTGCGAATTCGGTACAAACGTAAAGTGAGAGGTAACTGCTGACTACACCAGAAACTATGGAGTGTGTGCCATCAAGAACCAATCCTTTACCCAAGTCACTCTAGCAGTAATAAGACTGGGGGTCTTAGTAGACACAGAAGCTTAATGAGTCAGTGTTGTGATGGATCTATCCAAACTCTCATATTGATCTTGATTGCACTGAGATATAGTTCCTGGGTCACTTGCAGAGGGTTCTGGGCATTATGATTTAAGAATGTCCTGTCAAACTATAGGCTGTCTGGGGAGTCATAAAGGATGAAGATACTCAAAACCATGCCATATAAAAATGGATGAAGTTGGGACAACTCTCAAGCTTAAGCAAATTTAAGTGGCTGAGTTATATTATCAATTCAACCAATATAATATAGAAGCAAATATCCTTTCCTTTTTAAAGAGTAAAAACTAAAACAAGGGATTCCAGACTGAGCTAATTCTCAATGTTGAAAAGTGAAGTAAAATGTGCCACTATCCTGTCAGTGTCCAATGATCCAAGCTCTGGACGGGGGTCTTTAATGTCACATTTATAGATGAAGTAGTTAAGCAAAATTTCCTTTTTCCTTTTGTCTTATACAGTCCAACCTTAGAAATTCTCCAGATCATTTTTTAAGCAAGCTTCCAGACACTGTACAATCAAATAACTTCATTTGTCCTTAAGTTATTCAAAATGGGTAATTCTTAAATATTAACAAATTACAATATCAATAGTAAAATTAACAATATTACTTTTGCATTTATCATCTTGTTACCATCCTATTCTCCCAATAACTCTGGCAAAGAAGACACCAAAGAATATTATTTATAGTAAATTTTATTTTCATTGATATTTCATTGAGAATTCCAAAGTAGGTCTGTGCTCTAAGATGAACAAAAGAACACACATCCTAAATCTCACCAAGAGATTTGTTTCAGTTGTTCTCAGCAGGGCATGGGCTTCAGGGCCCCCATAGCTGACACCTCACATTTTACCCCTGGTGATTTTATCTAGGGGTACAGAGAGAGGAGACCATGTCATACAAGAATCAAACCACATCAGGGGTCATTAGGGCTCACGTTTGATACTAGCCATGAAGCTCAGTCTTCTTTTGTTTGTTTTTTGGTGGTCCTGGAGTTTAAAGTCAGGGCCTCAAACTTGTAGGCAGATGCTCTACCACTCGAGCCATGCCCCCAGCCCTTACTTTTCTTCTAAAGTAAAATGTCAGAATAAGTAAATGTGCTGCACTTCTTTCTCTTAATACACTGAAAATAGTGGAAGTTTGTAGATTTTTAATTCTTCATGAGTCCAAGCAGATAAGGGACTACTACGGATGAGGTCTATTCAAAATATTAACTCCAAGTTTGACAATCATCAGCAAACTGTTCAAAAGAAACAAACAAAAAACATCAGGAAAAGGATAGACCAGGTGACCATTTTTTAAGGACTAGGATTCTGCAGGTCCCTCACAACTGCACAGGAAGGGAAGGGCTATGGCAGAACAGTCAGAAATAAACCCCCCTGGAGAAACTGAAGGAAAACATGCAAAGGGGCAGTCTTGTCCTGAAGACTCAGAACAGTCTATGGGTGTTCCTAATCCCACTGCCAGTAACTCGAAGAGTGAAAAACTGAAGGAGATCAAGGCCTCCCAATCACAGAGCTAATAACAGTAGAGCAACAGCCTCCCAGTTTACTGCTTTTTTGTTTCTCTCTCCCACCCCGTGTCTCCCCATTCACAATACAGACTAGGCACAGGGCCTGGGCTGAGGTGTATATGGGGTAGGTTTACTTTGCCTCCTCCTTCTATACAGTCAGTGTAAGAACACAGCCTGTGGTAAGCATCAGGAGGCTCCAGTTTACTGCTCTTGACCTTGGTCTACAATGACTCTTTTGCTTCAAGTATTAAAGATTACGATCAACAGTATAACTATGACCAAAGATGGGTAGGCAATGTTTTTTCTGAAACAAATTTTAAAACATTCCTCTGCCTCATGTCTTTATTACATGTAAGACTAGTAAATGTAAAATAACTTGCTTTGTGTTTTTATAATCAAAGTTAATTTAGAAAACAGAATTCAATCAAAATTCCCTTTTAACAAAAATTTTAACAAAGGACACCTAAATAACTAAGAAATATAGAACACACTCATGGCTTTGCCCTGAGGCTTCCGCCTGACTCCTAGAGAGAGCAAATTTAAAACAAAACCATTTCCACAGTGAAAATAGACTTAGGCCATTTTGACATTAACTCAACTACTGCCTTTGCAGCCTTTCCTACTTGTGTATAAACTAAATCATGTGAGCTGATGTCTGGGATCAGGTATACAGAAGCAAGAATATTTGTGAATGTATAAAATATCTTGGGCAATAAACTAGCCTCTATCCTAGTAAACAAGAGTAAGACAATCAAAGTACCTGGCGCCTGCAATTAAACCCGCAGGCATGAACTTCCCAGAGTTGTAGAATCGCATCCCCATAATGCCAGCCAAGGTCCCAGAAGCAGCTGATGAGAAAGACAAAAGTCAAAAATCATCGCATTTATCTTCGGGGTAACCAGAGTGAGATATCCCACCTACCTTCCAAGGCCAGCCTCCATCCTACACTTACTCCTCCTTCCTCAGCTGGAGGAAGCTTCATAGCTGCCTGTATCCTATGTGTCTCAAGGGCAAATACTGACCAATCAAGGCCCATCTACCTTTCTGGACTCTTTTCTGCAAAACCCACATTTCATCCATAAATGTTAGTTTTCTCCAAAGTGCTGTAGAGCTTTTCTCATGCCTGAGAAACTGTTTCTCCACCCTCCTTCTCCATGTTCTTCCTGCAGGACAGCTATCAAAACACCAACTATAGTAAGCCCACCTTTTCACGGATTTATTACATGCAGTTTTGATAAAGTGCAGACCAAAAAAAAAAGAATCAGAGAAATGTCAAACAATTTTTTTTTTATGGTATTCGGGTTTTGAACTCAGAGCTTCATGTTTCTTAAGCACGCACTCTTAACACTTAAGCCATGCCTGCAGTCCTTCTGGCTTTAGTTATTTTTCAAGAGTCTTGCATTTTTTGCCTTGAACAGGCCTCAAATGGACCCTCCTATTTAGGCTTTCCAAGTAGCTGAGATGACAGGTATACACCATCATGCCTGCTTATTGAGATGAAGTCTCACTAACTTTTTTCCCAGGCTGGTCTTGAACTGTGATCCTCCCAATCTCTGCCTTGCAGCTGGGATTACAGGCATTAGCCACTGGGTACAGACAAAATAAAAAAATTTAAATTTCCGCAAATGCATTATACAGCCCAGTTGACCCAGAGAAGCTCTCAGTCAGTGCTGTATTATCATCAGTTGTGTGATTCTGCTGTGTTTCTCTGTCCTTAATTTTGTAAAACTCTGCCTCCTGAAAAGCAAGGCAAAAGTTACGGTCCTCAAAAAGGGCACATAGGCTGGGGGTGTGGCTCGCATCGTAAAGCGGCTACCTAACAAGGGCAAGACCCTCCGCACTAGTGTTCAAACCCCAAAAAGGTGCTTAATTTAAGAAAGAAAGGGATAAAGTTGAAAGATCTTGTTGAAAAATCTTTTGTTGTGGGAAAAGTGAATCAAGCACCCACAGTGTTCGATAAAGAGCATGAAATAGGATCTGGTGTTTAGTGAGCAATATTAATGTGTATAGCACTAATTTTGTGACAGTAATGTGGCCTACTGTAAGTGGCTTCAAGTTATGGATGTTCAGTCCTACTGTACAGATGGTACAGGTAAATTTGAGTCATTTTAGAGTATGAAGCTCTGTGCATCCTGAGCTGCTGTAGTTTTTCCTCAGTAGCGGTCTTCCCAGATACCAAGGCTGTACTGTACACTATGCATTGCACCAAGTGCTTGAGAATGCAACCGTGCTCAACCCACCCTTTTAGTGTTTCAAGTCTGATGAGGTAGACTAGCTTAAAGAATAACACAAAAGGAATAACTTGTGCCACAGGTGTAATTAATGCTACACAAATAATATAGTAAGGGGATCTATTCAAAATCATGAAAGGATTAGCTGGGGATTGGGCCAATATCTGAAATTACAGAAGTTAATGAGCTGAAGTGAGGAAAGCACATTCCAGGCACAGAGACCAGTATACGCAAAGGCCCTGTGGTGAGAGGGACCATGACACACTTTGAGAATGAAGGGACCAGGTGTATATGTCTATAATCCCAACTACTCAGGAGGCTGAGTCAAAAGAACTGTAAGTTCAAGGCCACCGGAACAACATAGTGAGACCGTCTCAAAATACAAAATACACAACACAGGGTGGGGTAGCTAAGGATGTGACTCAGTGGTAGAGTGCTTGCTTAGCGCGTGGGAGGCCCGTGGTTCAATTGCTAACACTGCCAACAAAGAGAAAAAGAAATGTGACCCCCTCCCCACAGCACCTTCATTCTTGATTTCAAAAGGTTCACAGTCTTCAAGCTAAACTTATTTTTCATCTGACCAATTCTGTCTAAAGTTTTAAAGGGTTAAAAAGCTAGGAAAAAACTGATGTGGTAATATAGAAAAATGGGAAAATTAATGGCAAAAGGATTTAAAATCATTTGAAAAAAAAAAAAAGGGAACTAAAAGGCCAATGTGGCACAGAATAAAGACACAGGTAGTGAAGAGGTGGGCCATGAGGGCTGGTTAGGGGCAATGGTCTTTGTCCTAAGAGCCACAAGTCAAGCTGTTAAACAGAGGGATATGTGAACAGAGTTGCATTTTGACATATAATTCCAGCTGTTCCAACTAAAGCACACTGCAGAGAAATGAGAAGGCAAACAGGGATACCAAATGAAAAACTCCCTCAGGAGGATCATGGTTCAAGGCCAGCTGGGGCAAATTGTCTGAGAGACCCCATCTCTAAAATAACCATAGCAAAATGGAAGTGTGACTTAAGCAGTAAAGTGCCTGTTTTACAAGCGTGAAGCTCTGAGTTCAAACCCCAGTTCCATCCAAAAAAAAAAAAAACAAAAAACAAAACCAAAAAAACTCCCTCAGGAATATAAGCAAGAGAGGAAGAGAGCTGGAGGCATGGCTCAAGTAGTAGAGTACCTGCCTAGGAAATAGGAAGCCCTAAGTTCAAACCCTGGTACTGCCAAAAAACAGTGGCGGGGAGTAAACTGGGGACCAGGAAGGTGGCCATAGGGACGGAGAAGAGACAACTTAGGGTTTGTGCCAAAGGCAGTGTTGAGAAGGGCTGCTGATGAATTAAGTCACAGAGGCTGGGAGAAGAAAGCAACCAAAATGGATGGGAACAAAAGACTGGATGTGTGCAAGATCATGTGGTCAGGTCTGGACAGAGGCCTGGGATCATTTTAAGCCTCAACCAGACAACTGATTACATAAAAGTGAAGCCTGGAGACAAGGAAACTTGTGAGTCATTTATGTATCAGAGATAACTTAAGCTTCAATGGCACAGTCAAGTGCCAGAGTATAAAGAAGATAACTCCAGGCCTTAAGTTCAATGTAGGATGTGAGGCCAATCTGGCTATAGCATCTGTCACCCTATTGATCACCAGGGTTCATTCAGCTATCTACCCAGCTAGGTAGGCATCCCCCTCCTCTTCACCACTCCATGTGTGTTCCTCCTGAAGCTGCTAAGCTGTACAGTTGGTCAAAGCAGACGCCCTTCCCCGATAGAGAAGAACTGCTCTTCAGCCATGGGTAGATGAGTAGCTGTGCTCTACTGCTAGAGCATGCAAACAAGCTCTCAAGAGGCTCCGTCTCTAATGGCCATAAAGGAAGATGGGCTGACAAAAACAATGCCAAGACAAAAAGAGAAACCAGGAAAATAGAAAATGATTGGTCAATGTGCTGAGAATAGCCCACAAGTCACATAAAATGTACACAGGACTTTGTGCAAACTCAGGTCACTGCTAGCCTCAGGGAGGGACATGTTCTGGGTCAAGGGGGCAGAAATGCAGACTGCAGTGAGTCAATTTGTGTGAGTGGGAAGAAATGGGAGACAAGTGGTTTTTTTAGAGAAGTTCCTGAAAGGGAAGGAAAAGGCAAGCAACTGAACGACATGGGGTCATAAGAGGTCCGCTTTCTTTTTTAAATGGGTGAGGGAAGAGCACAGGTGAGGATCAACAGGAGAGATCCACCTATGGAAAACACAAATAAAAGATGGACCCTGGACAGCATAAGCTCCAGAGAATGTAGGGGGAAGAGACAAAGCTCAGGTGGAGGGACTGCCCTTGTTGAGGAAGGGAGTAGGACAAGGGAGGGATTGGAGGTTGATGGCTGAGAGTCCCCATCACTCCCCATGCTGGTTTTTCTATTAAGCAGGACTGAGGTCATTTGTTTTGAGTAGAGTGGTGAGATCTAAGATGGGAGGAAAAGTGGTCTCAAGTCATTCCAGACCATGAATGAGGAAGCTGTGAAACAGAACGGAGAGTCAGCATGTCCTCCTTCCCCAGCCTGCCCCCAACCAGTCATGGCCGATCTCCCTTCCCACCCACAACTGGTATGTATGGACTACCCTGTGAACATGCCTATCCTCCATCCCTCCTGTACAGCTGCATTTGTTCTTACACAGTGGGCGTGTGGAAAGACTGAGGTGCCTGGCAATGTCTGACACATGGGTGGAGCCCAACAAAAATGTTTCAAAAGCCACCCTGATAAGAAGCACTTTTTGCTGGGTGCTGATGGCTCACGCCTGTAATCCTAGATACTCAGGAGACAGAGATCAAGAGGATCGTGGTTGTATGCACATATGAATAAAAAAAAAAAAAAAAAAAAAAAAAGAGGATCGTGGTTCAAAGCTAGCCCAGGCAAACAGTTTTCGAGTTCCTATCTCGAAAAAAACAATCACAAAACAGGGCTGTGAAGTAGCTCGAAGTGTAGGCTCTGAGTTCAAGCCCCCCATACTGCAGAAAAAAAAAAAAAAAAAGCACTTGTTAATGTCTGAGTTGCTGACAGGGCACTCTCCCACAGTTCCACAAAGCCAAGTTTTAAGTCCCATGATTTGTATTTCATCTGCCTTCCCCAGTTAGGTTGAAAGCTCCCTGAAGGCAGGGCAGTGTCTTACACAATTAACTTACTGCTGAAGAGGCAAACGATTTCTAATTGGGAAAAATGCCATACTGATGCAACCTAACCCAGATACTAGAAATACTCAAGCAGACCATTTTTAATACTCAGCCTCAGTATTTAATAGACATGTACCTGCCCTGTCCAACTCTAAAAACTGTCCACATGCTATACATAACAGATAAAGATACCAGCACAACTCTCCACTGGGAAACCCCCCAGGCCTTGGCAGAAGCAGTGAGATTTATCAGTGAGACAAGCTGGCCACATTCCACCAAACCAGGGCCTTTTGGTAAAGCATGTTATGGATACAGACATGCCCTGAGGAGACACAAAAGCAGACATACCTAGGAAAACCCACACGTTCCTGGGATCCTGAGACAGCTGGTAAGCACCCAGGCCTGCTAAGCCCCCAAAGAAGAGCCCAGCAGCCAAGGATGGCACACTACCTAGAAGGAAGCAAACACAGGCCTATGTTGTAATGTTAGACACTTATTTACAGAATCTGCCAGACTCCCCTTCTCTGCAGAGGAAAACAGCAGAGATCTTCTCTTCACAGTTCACAATGAAGGCATTCTCAAACAGGAAAACATTCTGGGGAGTTTGCTATTTTATCAGACAAGTCAGGGTCTTGACATCCCATCTCTCTCTCCTCTAATAGGTAAGGCATTTCCAATCTAAGGAGAAAAGAGCATCCCAGACTAAGAAAGGAAAAGGAGACCTCTGCTCCTTAGGTGGGATCTATGGTCTGGCTTTTTCTCAATTGATCCTGATGTACCCATCAAGGGCCAGAATTGGGCACAGGCAGGACTTCAGGCAAACTGCAAAAGGAGAGGGAAACAGGGTCAGTCAGGTTTTAAAAAAAAAAAGAAAAAGATTTGGAGACTAAGAATTCCAGTGTGTGGAAGTGGGGATAATGACAAGGAAAGGATAGACACAAGCACATTCACTGGAACTCCTTAAGCTAGATTGACAAGGAGGCTTCAGAAAATGAGTATGGGAGGGGTAGGGTGTAGCTTAATGGCAGAATGCATGCCAAGCATGCATGAGGCCCTGGGTTCCAGCCCCAGCGCCACCAAAAAAAAAAAAGTGAAGACCTAGAGGTTTCCTCCTCCATGAAAAATTCAAAGGTGGCAGTCTGGAGTCAAAGATTATGGATGGCTGCTAATGATAATAACAACCTATCACCACCCCTGCCTATCTTTAGATAAACAGGCAAAAATATGAAGCTTGGCTCGGCTCAGCCAGATAACCAAAAGGCAAGTCCAGAAGGAGCCAGAAGACTGATGATGGAGGCTGTATTCAAGCTTAGGGGCCTAAGACAAATTGGAGCCAAACAAAATTGCATTTGAAGGACCCTGGGGACTCACTCTCCATTGGAACAAGGTGAAGATTTTAAGATATTAAATAATTGCAAAACCTTACCTGCTTTTGCATAGCCAATGATCCCACCAGTAGCAACCAGTGCTGCATAGCCAAAGCCAAAATAATGGAAAGGCACTCTGAAAATGCAAGGGGAAAAAAGTCAGTGTCAACCACATTTTCCAAACAAACCACATCATTATTTGAGGGGACCAAAAGATCATCATTCCAGGCAAATCTTATCATTGTAGAAATAAAAATAAAGCCCACCAGAGAAGTTGGGTGACATGTCAAGTCACACAACTAGTCAGTGGCAGAGCTGGGACTCAAATCCAGAATCCAGGTCCCTGGCCCATAGGATCCTCCCATACCCCTTGCTCCCCAAGGCAGCCCACTTTTAGGGCTCTTTTCTGCCGGAGAAGCTCCAGCAATTCCATTCCCATTTGTTGTGTACTTACAGTGAGCCCGTGTCCTTCTGCATTGTTCTCTCACTCGGTCCAGACAAGAGACTACACCAGGCCTATACCTGTGGAGGAAGGGTAGTTAAAAGCACAGCCCTCCAGCTGTCAGAAAGAAGTGGGTCCACGTTCCAGTTGTAGCCTTTGGAGCTAAGAAGTGATGGGCCCCTAAGCTACACAACCTTTGGGAGCCTCAGGGCCCTTCACTGTGCCATTGAAGATAACAATGGTACCAATTTCCCGGGGCTTTTATTAGCATTCAATGGGGTAATAAGCAAAAGTGTAGTAAATACTGCACAGATACCAGTATTTTTGCAACAACCTCAATTCTAACACAGACTGGCAAGAAGGTGAGCAAGAATCACTGATCAGCTCTAGACAGGTTCTGAGCTAACCTTTTCATCAGCTGACCAAACATTACTAAATCAGAAAACAAATACTCTGTGCCTATGATTCAACTTTTTTTGGGGGGAGGGGCAGTACTGGAGTCTGAACTCAGGCCCTTGAGTTTGCTAAGCTAATTCAACTAATTTTTGATGTCTCTGGGGGGGACAACGGAGGATGATTTCATCTCTGTCTCAAGAATCAAAATGCTTCAATAGTCAATGTTTGTAAAATTTTTAGAAACTTCTGTATCCAATCCACTGCTCTTGGCAGACTGGGGCAGAGGTGGGAATAAAACACGCGGGAACCGAGCCATAATTACCTGTGACACTGCACATGTATAAAAGTAACTTCTGGACTGGGGCGTAGCTCAAGAGGTAGAGCACTTGTCTAGCAAGCAAGAGGCCCTGAGTTCAAACCCCAGTACTGCCAAAGGTTAAGTAACTCCTATCGTCTTCTAGAAAAGTCCTTTTCTTCCCGAGAGCCTAACCGAACTGAAGGCAACGCATACCCGTTTTGCTCTGAGCAAGGAATGAAGTTTCCATAAAGAAGGAGCGGGAAGCCTTGGGGTCGTGCCTAGACAAGAGTAGCGGCGCTGAATTATTCAGCTTCTTAAAGAAATGGAGTAATAAAACCTCCAGGAATCGAATCAGTACTATGCTAACCGGTAAGAATTTGCCTGGAGCTGCGGGGTCCTGCAGGATTCGCAACTTATTTTAAGAAAAGCTGATAATGAGCGACAAGAAAAGCACCTCCCACGCGGCCTAAAGCGGTCGCCTGGGCTGGGGGGACGAAAGTGAGACAGCCGCGAAGTCTCTTAAATAATTACTGAAACTACCAACTTGTTATAAAGTAATTCTTTTAAAAACCCAGTACCCGAACCTCTCTCGCGAAGGTCTCAGCCGGCGGTCGAGGGCGCGCAGACCACAGGGACAAGAACCGAGGTCTTGATCAAGGTCTAGAACGTCGCGGCGCGCACGCTGCATCCGGGGTGGGGCGGGGGCGTGGCTTGGGGCGTTGGGGGGGGCTGGTATCGCGGCGCGCGCAGCGCCCCGGAGGCGGGGCGGGGAAGGGGGCGGGGCTTTGGGTAGGGCTCAGGGGCGGGGATCGCGGCGCGCCTTCGGCGTCCCCTGGTGGGGCGGGGTTTGAAAGGAATTTGAAGTTGAGGGCGGGGCTTGGGGGCGAGCAGGCGCGCGTGCGTCAGTCAGCCGGAGGCGGGGCGTGGGTGAGGCACTGCGGCGCGCGCGCGGGGAGTCTCTGGAGCTGCGTGGGGCTTGGGGACCCAGCTTAGGCTAGCAGCGACCTCCGGGGTTGCGCGTGCACAGGACCAACCAAAACCAGTCCCAGCTCCCAACTCGAGTGGCCAAAAGCCGGACACCCAGAGTTTGTGGCGTAGCTCGGGGCCGTGTGAGCTGGGGTGGGCTGATGATGGAGGCTAGAGAAGCGCGTTTGAGGCTGAATTCTAAAGGCCCCATTAGTAGAGCGGTACTTTGCCAGGGGTAAACCACATGCGGGCCATCGAGGAATCACTCGACCGATCCCAATGTTTGCTGACACCGGAAAGGGACTACTTTCAACCTGCAAGGAATATGGTGTCCACAAGCAATAAAAGGAGGCTCCCTTCAGTGTTTGTGCTTGTTTTCTGGGAGTGAGGCTACTTGACAAGCACCTCAAAGGGGGAAAGAGTAAGTTAAATACAGTTTCCACCTGTCTCCGGATTCCGAGCGCCCACTGCATGGCATTATCTCTGCTCCTGCTACAGACTTGCTTCTCCTTGCAGTTCCAGTTCTTAAACTTGCTCAGTTGCTGTACTCCAAAATTTTGTGTCATCTTTGACTTGGCTGTCTCCATCCCCTACATCAAGTATAATCATGGCTAAATCTCATGCATACAGTCTTCAGTGAATAAAGCAAGTTGCAGTGCATACTTATTCTAAAAGAAAAACTTTCCACTTTTAGCAACTTCCAGAGAGTAAAATTGGAGCCCACGTTTATCATAGCTGACTCTAACCAGCCAAAGCTATATTATAGGCTAAGAGCTTGGAACAGTCCCGGAATGCCAGACCCCTACCACTTTAATGGAAGACTGTGAATTAGGAGAGCATTGTTCGAACTCTGAACCATGTCAATGGAGTGTGATCCAAATTGTGTGAGGGAAGCCGGGCACATGTAATCCTAGCTGATTGAGAGGCTGAGATCATGAGGGTCTCGGTTGTATTGTCTTTAGACTACCATCTCCAAATAACCAGAGCAAAATGGACTGGAGGTGTGGCTCAAGTAGTAGAGTGCCTGTTTTGCAAGCCAGAAACTCTTAAGTTCAAATCCCAGTCCCACCTCCACCCCCCCAAAAAAAAAATTGGGTGAGGGAACATATTTCTTGTCTTTGGTCACTGGGCCCTAATAATAATAGTTTTTTAATTTTGTTTACATACACACAGGAGTGTGTACTCACATACAGCCATAGCAGTAGAGAGATGCTTCCATTTAAGCATTATCATTTTTGGAAACTTGAATGTGTTGACTATTCAATTAACAATCTCCCCCACCCCAAAATATAACATCCAAATCAAATCCCAAATTGCAGTTTTCAAATCAGTTCACATCTATCTAGTATCCACAATATCAGTTTCTCCATGTTTAGAAATAGTTTATAACTTTATTTGAAAAGCAAAATCATTCAATAAACTTTTCTCCAACAAATTAGTAAATAAAATTTGAAAAAAAAAAGTCAGTGGTGTCCACATACAGTACCAGTCAAACTCAGTACCAACAGAAAGTCTCACAGACTGAACTAAAATGTTTGAATCACATATTTACAAATTTATCAAATCAATTTCAAGCAGACAGGGAGAAGCAAATAGAAGAAAAAAATGGGATAAGCAAGAACCAAAAATATAGGGTGAAGCCTAGTGGAAGAGGCATACTTCCTAAATCCCTAGTTACTCAATGTTTACGTACCATGACTTCTACCTACCTTCCTACCACCACCCCTGCTTCTCTCTGTGTCATCAGCCTTTGTGCAGAAGGTGGATCAGTAAACCAGACATTTGAGGGGGCAGGTGCCCTGAGCCAGCCACACATGCTTGCTCCATCAGAGAGATGCAGACCCAAGTAAGCCTGACAAACAGCGGCACCTTCCCAGCTGGCCTGTGGAGCAGCCATGGGCTTACATTATGTTTCTTGGACAGACAACATACAGGGACAGAATGAGTGGCCTAATTAAAGGCTCAGTGACTTTTCATGCTCATGTATATTTTACGCATTGTAAACAGTTAGTGTCTCTTGTATAGTATATCAGAATCAGTGTGTGGATGTCTCACATATATTTAGTACCTAGGAATACTAGGCATCTTGAGCTTTCTATTCCTATGTATGTTTAATACATGCTCTATTTCCTTTTTTCTTTCTCCTTCCTGAGATGGGGTCTTGTTATGTTTCTTAGGCTAACCTTGAGTTCCTGCCTCAGTTGCAGGAATAGCATACAAGACTAAACCCAGCAAACTGCTTACTTTAACCCAGTTTATGAATTCTGCCAAACTGTTTATTATTTGTTTATACTTAACACATCCTAAAACTTTTCCCCTATGGCTTACAAACACATTAATCTTCTTTGATAGAGCCAAATAGTCTCAAAAGCAAATGTACATTCCAACTTTTTTTTTTTTTTTGGTGCCCCTGGGGTTTAAACTGAGGGCTTTGTGTTTGCTAGGCAGATGCTCCACTGCTTGAGCCATGCCTCCTGCCCCCAACTTTTTTTTTTTTTAAATATCAGAGTCTAAAAACCTCTGCTGCCTATCAAAGCCTAACTTAAATGGTACATTTTGAGCTGTTACTTCAACACCAAATGCTCTTACTCAGGAGCAAAGAAGTGCCAGTAAAAGCAATTAAAGTGAGAAGAAAGGAACAAATACACTTAGTTATTAGGTTTTTCACATGCTGGAGGGCTGGGAAGTAGGAAGTGATGAACTGTCATTGTTAGACAAATTGGTTCTGCCCCCATGTGACTACTGTCAAAGAGAAGTTTCATTACACTAACTATACACCACATAGCTAGAAGGTGCATGAGCAGCAGCAACAGCAATAGGCTTTTTTTTTTTAAGAATGAATAAGAACCTAGGGGCTGGCAGAGTGTTCAAGTGGTAGAGCGCCTGCCTAGCAAACATTAGGCTCTGAGTTCAAACCCCAATACTGCCAAAAAGAAAAAAACCTACACAATTTATAGTTAAATTGCATTGAAAGCATGCAACAGAGGAGGAAATATTTGCAAATATATCTGATAAGTGTTTGATGTCTAAAATATACAAAGAGATCCTATAACTCTACAGCAGAAAGACAAACAACCCAGGTTAAAAAAATGCTGGGCATGGTGGCTCAATCCTATAATCCTAGCTACTCAGAATGTGGAGATCAGGAGGATATCAGCTCAAGACTGACCAGTCCAGGTGAAAAGTTCACAAGACCTCATCCCAACCAATGGCTAGGGGAGGTGGTGTGCACCTGTCATTCCAGCTATGCAGGGAAGCACAATTAGGAGGATCACAGTCCAGGCTGGCCTGGGCAAAAAGTAAGTTCCCAGCTCCAAAAATAACCAGGAAGAAAAAAAAATAAGAAAGAGGTGTGGCTCAAGTGGTAGAGTGCCTGCCTAGTGATTGAATGCAAAGCCCTGAGGTCAAACCCAATACTGCCAAAAAAACAAAAAACCACACACATTGAGATATTAAGTCATACTTAATACCATGACTATCATACTTTTTTTTAAAGTGATGTTGGCGAGGCTGTGAAGACATTGGAAGTCTCACACATTGCCAGCGGGAGAATAAAGGGGTGCGGCTACTGTGGAAATGGCTGAGAGGCTTCTCAAAACACTTAATATAGAATTGCTATGTGACCCAGCAATTCCTCTTCTCATTGTACATCCAACAGACTGAAAGTAGGGACTCAAACAGATATTTTCATGCCACTGTCCACTGCCACATTAGTCACAACAACCAAGGTAAAAACCAACCATTCCTCCAACAGAAAATGGATAGACAAAACTGGACAACATAGCAAAACACTATCTCAAAAATACTAAACAGAACAGAGCTGTAGGCGTAGCTCAAGTGGTAGAGTGCCTACCTAACAAACATGAGGCCCTGAGTTCAAATCCCAGTACCACCAAAACAAACAAAAGCAAACAGAACATACACTTAGCAAGCACAAAGTCCTGGGTTCAATCCCTGGCACCCTATATAACATTCTTTTAAATAGTAAATATTACATTATATGTTTAACCACAATTTTTTTACAGGGTTAAACAAGTGCTCTACCACTGAGCTACACCCTCAAATCTTTATTTTTTTATTTTTTATATTTTTGGTGGCAGTGGGTTTTGAACTCAGGGTCTCATCCTTGCTAGGCCGGCACTCTTACCACTTGAGCCACTCCTCCAGCCCCTCAACTAACTCTTTCTTTAAAAGGAATTTTATGTTAGCATCTGGGAACTTTGATGTAATTTAAAATTTACAAGTTGCAAGAATATTACAAGAAACCTCTTTTTATTCTTTTCCAATTTTTTTTTTTTTTTTTGCTGTATCCTTAAATAGCAAATTTTCTCCTAGTCTAAGATTCATACTGGGAGCATGTCTCTTCAATTTCCTATGATCTGGATTATTATTCAGCTTTTCTCTGTTTTCTTTTTTCTTCTTCATCCTTTATTTATTTACTTATTTACTTACTTAATGGTTCTGGAGATTGAACCCAAGGTGTCGCTCACACTAAGCAAATGCTGTACCACTGAGCTACACTCCCAGCCCTTTTATTTTTTAATTCTTGCTAAGTAGCCTCGTCTGGCCTCAGATTTTTGATCCTTCCCTTCAGACTCCCAAATAGCTGAGAGTAAAGGTGTGCACCACTATGCCCAGCTTGCTTTCTTAACTGTGAGCTTTTTCAGTTATTCTGTATGCTTATTCTTTATACTTATCCAGAGTTGCTGAAATTTCCCACAAAATAA